CATCTCAGGCAACCAGAGAAATTGGATAGGGCCGAAGGGATGGTGGAAAGAAGTGTTGAGAACGTACCGAAGACCTGAACCTCCCCGTCATCGAGATAGGGAATCATTCCAAAAGGCTGTGGGATAACAGGGCCAGGGAGGGAAACAGACGAGGGCAATCTCAGGCGACACGTTGAATATTCAAGAGGTAGCTGAATGGAACGCTGCAGCGCCATGAAAAGGTATAATCGTGGTGGCTTTCGCGTGCAGAATGGAAATTTCGCCCCACCTGCTTCTTCGTGAACTCTTCCGACTTGTGCTCCCCTTTCGCGAGATCCACGGTAACCACCTCGTAGTCCTGAGAAAAAACGAATATATTGGCATTAGCTAATTCAGATTCAAACATAAAAGGTCGGCAGTTGAAGCGTCATCCCGAGCTGCAAAGAAACCTAGAATTTCAGCTCGTACCGTAACGGCCTTCTCCTCGAGAGTTGTGAGCACCCTCTTGGTGCACGTCGACATGTTCATGCCGTAGACCTTGACTGGAGCCATGACGTCAGCGGCGAGAGCGGTATCACATAGATGATAATGAATGGGTGGAGAACGATGCGCGAATTCGAGTCTAGGCTGAAGGGAGATTGCACGGATAGATGAAGCTTGTTAGACGCTTGACTGCGGATAATGGCCGCCATGGCGCTGTAAATACACGCTAGCTGTTGGGTACGCGGCGCGCTCTCTGGGCTGGACTAGGATTGAATAGCACTAGCAGAGTAAGAGAAATGATGGAGTCTTCTGGAAAAAGGCTCAAGCTGCTTCGATGACGCTTCTGCCTGTCCACCTCCCCACTAGGCCTGTGCGAAGAAAAGCCTTCCGCGAAAGAACTGTATTAGCGACAAAATGTCATGACGTCAATCTAGTTTCGCTGTTGTGGTTTCCAGACGAACTTCTCTTTCGAGCGAAGAGACTCGAGCGAAATTTTCTCTCCTGTGTTACACCGAACAGCCTTCGGGTTTGCTCAGTAAGTCGAACATTAGACGGTAACTGATTTCGCTAACGTCGCGACAGTCACGAGTGAAAACACGAACGTCCATGCAGCGGGGCATGCGAACAGTTCGACTGCCGACAAGCGAACTTGCAAGGGAATTTTTGCTTGTGTTTCGCCTGGTGGATTCGGGTCCTTGCTCGATCTACTCGATAGAAGCCAGCTCGAACCACTTTCGATTGAACGGTTCGAGCCAGAGGTCGATTTTTGGCAAACACACTTCGAATTCACGCGCCCTAAGATGTGACACGAATCTCTTCCCCCAGATATTACAGGACGAGAGATTACACGGGCAACAGTGGCGTAATACACGGCAATGGAAGGACGTTTGGAGCTTCAAGTAGCGGAGCGATCGCTATTGCGTTAGAGCGACAGACAGGCGACGAGAGAGCGCGACGTACGGTGCTGAGAGAGCGACGGGCTGCGACGAGAGAACGACAAACTGAGACGAGAGAGCGACGGACTGCGACGAGAGAGCAGAGCAACGACTGCGACGAGAGAGCGACGGTTGACGACGAGAAGGCGACTGCTGACGGAAAAAATGAAAAACGACAGTAGTCGACGATAGTGCAATAAAAACGATTCGCGGCGATGGCGGAGAGCCGCGACAGCAGAGCGAGGAGCAGCGGCAATGGCGGGTGGGGCAGCACGCGCGCGCAGGCGGGGCTCCCGGCGGCGGCAACGGCGGAAACAGCGGCGTTGGCGGCGGCGCCGAGCGGCGGTGAAAGCCCGCGCCGGTCGCGCTCCGCCTGGATGATTTCCTCGCCGCCGCACCCGCCGCGGCCGGCGGCACGGCACCTCTTCCGCCGCCACCGCCGCAGCGTACAATCGCCTTCGCGAGGATACGCGGGAAATGATTTGCGCGCCAGTGTGGGGGGAGCACAGATGAGAATGACGGGCGGGCTCGCGGAGGGGGAGCAGAGGCGGAGCGGGGAGGGGAGGCGCGGAGAGGGGAGCGGGAAGTGAGGATGCGGGGCGCGCGTGACTTGGGTTTGGCGGAAAGGAGGCAAGGGATGGGTTAAGGCGGAGCAGGAGGGCTGAGGAGGGGCGCAGGGACAGGCAGAGGGGTGGGGAAGGGCGGGAGAGGGACGCAGGGAGAGGCAAGAGTAGGGGGGAAAGAGGCGCACAAGGTGCGGGGGGGGGGCGCACAAGGTGAGGGGAGGGGGAGCGGGGAGAGGAGTAGGGTCAGATGGGGAGAGGGGAGGGTGGGGTCAGAGAAGGGTGGAATGGAGGGCATGGGAGAGGAGGGGAGGGCGATGGGAGAGGAGGAAGGGGAGTGCAGGGGAGAGGCGAGGGAGGAGGGCCGAGAGTGGATGGGAGAGTGATGTAGAGGGAGGTCGATGCTCTCAGGGACGACGAATTGGAGACAAGACAGCACTCAGTGGTCTTACAAGGACGCGAACGCAGTAACGCGATGGTAGGCATGCAGCCTTCCATGTTTCATTATTCCCGGATGGCGTCACAATCGCAAGGCGTTTTTTTGCCGGTGCTTAGATGGGTGCTGTCTACCACTACAGTCGTGACAGATGGGCTTTATGGGAGATGATGGCATAGCGCGTGAAATGAACGTGGATATGAGCAAGGATAGGAACGTGCATGGGATGGATTGGACACGTTTGCTGGGCGAGCGGATCCGGGTCATGCCAATGGCATGGTGCCACTTGGCACAACCTGATGCGGCGTCATGATTGTCATTCACGTGTTGCCTTCTCTACTTGCACGCACCACCGCATGACTCCAGCCAGAGAATCGCAGCCAACAGCGCACATGGGGAGGTGGCAGGCAGGACGCGAGCTTCGCGTTGTTGGAAAAATCACAAGGGCCACTTTTGAGACGTCTCAAAAATTGTTGCACTCGTCACAAGGGCCACTTGAGCAATCACATGTCTGCTGCTCTTGTGGCTTCGACAGGACTTGCATTACTAAAGGGGTGAGCGCAGTGCAGCTGCGTCACTGAGATGCGTTGTGGGTTTACTGATGTGGGAAGGGTAGTGTGGAAAGGCTGGGTATTGCCATGCCAAGATGAGAGCTGTGAGGGATGGTGGGTATGTATGCGAGAGTCAATGAGGGGTGGTGGGTATGTATGCGAGAGTCAATGCGGGGTGGTGGGTATGTATTCCAGAGTCAATGAGGGGTCCCTGTGGGGTAAGGGCGTGTGTGTTGGTCACACGGGGAGTGGTCAAAGGGCGGTGAAGGAGGGGTTGCTGCTGGGGCGGGTTAGGTCAAATGGGATGCGATGGTTGCTACCGATGGGTGGCAGGGGCTTGGGTGGGGGCGGTTGACAGGCGTGGTGATGGCAAGGTGAGTGAGAGTCGGTGGAGGGGGGTTGGGATAGGTGTATGCAGGAATCACTTGAGTCAGTTGGCGAGGAGTAGCAAAGTTGAGAAGATGGTTGTGAGGTGGTTGCAAGAGTGAGGGAGGGAGGCTATGGGCATGCCAGGTGAGTTGAGAAGATGGGTGCAGGCCAGGCACGGGCGGAATGCCCACTCAAGAATGACTCACTCTTGAGTCACTGCCCCACAGCACGGGCGCCCCTCCCTCCGCACCTGCTTCTCCACACTGACCTGTGCTCCACCAACTCTCCCACCCCTGTAGCACTGGCGCGCTGTTCACCTCTACAGCGGCACGGGAGATGCTGCTGACATGGCAGAGGTGCGGGAGAGGCTGCTGACATGGCAGAGATGCGGGAGAGGCTGCTGACATGGCAGAGGTGCGGGAGAGGCTGCTGACATGGCAGAGATGCGGGAGAGGCTGCTGACATGGCAGAGGTGCGGGAGAGGCTGCTGCTGACATGGCAGAGGTGCGGGAGAGGCTGCTGACATGGCAGAGGTGCGGAGAGGCTGCTGACATGGCAGAGGTGCGGGAGAGGCTGCTGACATGGCAGAGGTGCGGGAGAGGCTGCTGACATGGCAGAGGTGCGGGAGAGGCTGCTGACATGGCAGAGATGCGGGAGAGGGCTGCTGACATGGCAGAGGTGCGGGAGAGGCTGCTGACATGGCAGAGGTGCGGGAGAGGCTGCTGACATGGCAGAGGTGCGGGAGAGGCTGCTGACATGGCAGAGATGCGGGAGAGGCTGCTGACATGGCAGAGGTGCGGGAGAGGCTGCTGACATGGCAGAGGTGCGGGAGAGGCTGCTGACATGGCAGAGGTGCGGGAGAGGCTGCTGACATGGCAGAGGTGCGGGAGAGGCTGCTGACATGGCAGAGGTGCGGGAGAGGCTGCTGACATGGCAGAGGTGCGGGAGAGGCTGCTGACATGGCAGAGATGCGGGAGAGGCTGCTGACATGGCAGAGGTGCGGGAGAGGCTGCTGACATGGCAGAGGTGCGGGAGAGGCTGCTGACATGGCAGAGGTGCGGGAGAGGCTGCTGACATGGCAGAGGTGCGGGAGAGGCTGCTGACATGGCAGAGGTGCGGGAGAGGCTGCTGACATGGCAGAGATGCGGGAGAGGCTGCTGACATGGCAGAGGTGCGGGAGAGGCTGCTGACATGGCAGAGGTGCGGGAGAGGCTGCTGACATGGCAGAGGTGCGGGAGAGGCTGCTGACATGGCAGAGGTGCGGGAGAGGCTGCTGACATGGCAGAGGTGCGGGAGAGGCTGCTGACATGGCAGAGGTGCGGGAGAGGCTGCTGACATGGCAGAGATGCGGGAGAGGCTGCTGACATGGCAGAGGTGCGGGAGAGGCTGCTGACATGGCAGAGGTGCGGGAGAGGCTGCTGACATGGCAGAGGTGCGGGAGAGGCTGCTGACATGGCAGAGGTGCGGGAGAGGCTGCTGACATGGCAGAGGTGCGGGAGTTCATGCTCCTTAAACCAATGCTCTGCCTCTTCTTGCCCTTCATGGTCCTCGCCTTCCCAGCCCGTCGTTGCTCTTTCTGACTGCCCTACCTTTTCTGCCTTGCGCACCCTTGCCTGCCGCCACCCCTCCCGCTTGTCTGCTGGCACGCCTTACGGGGGGTGGGGGGGGGGTTTCTTCGCACTCGTTATTGTCTCTCCTCTTATTGTCACCATTCTGCTTTGTGTACCATGCCACTCTGATATTGTCCTGCCACTTTCTTATTATTTCTAGACCTTGCTAATGGTAAACTTACTCAAGCTCCTAGTACCAACTTTGATTGCTTCAGCTGTGTTTTGTAGCACTGTACACGCAAAGGAATACCGTAGGCACGGTACCCTCATTGAATGCATGACACTCCCTTCTCTGGAAGCAGAGCAGAGCACTTTGGCATGGCTTTACTTATACCGGTAATACTTTGTGGCACACATTAGTTTTGCAACATGATTGCCCAACATATAAGGACCAACAAGTGAATCTCTACGTTTCTGCTTCCTTCGCGGTGGTAGCGGAGCGGCGGGTCAGGGAGAGGCTTGGAGAGAGAGTAGTTGCTGTCCTATGCATTTGTTGTCCTACAAAGGCATATTTTTTAGAATTCTCAAAAACCAGTACGCCAACAGTACCCTGACCCCCTCACTCTGGACCTGCAGAGCTTGCATTTGTGTGCTGTAGTAGCTTGTCTGTCTGTAAGACCCATCTGTGGAAGATAGTCTTGTTGAAGTGAACCCTGTGGGTTGTGATGTCCTCCTCAAAACCACGGCTTCCCCCACACATGATGCTCCCAGCCAGGAACACGTGTGCATGTGCGCACAGCAGCTTGTCCAATATGGCCACAATGCCTGCATGGACGGAAGGGAGAGAGGAGATGGCAATAAAGAGTTGGCATGACACACAGGAGCAGCTAGTCACATTTTTGGAATATATTAGAGAGAGACAAAGGCTCTAGCAGACAGATCTAGCCTTGTAGCCGCCACCCATGCAGCTTCCCAAGTAGGCATCAAAACAGCAAACCAAGGAGGCACCCACCCAAGCAGAGTGCAATCACTGACCGGGGTCATACTGGTTGACAGCAGGCAAGAGCTCGTCCACCATCACTGTGCCCGCCACCTGCTCCCTCAACCATCGCAGCTTCTCCCTTGGGGCCTGCAGCACCCTGTCCTGGCCTTGGAACTTCCACGTGGTCTCCCTCCACGAGTCCGACCGCACCACGCTGCCCGCCTGGTCGTCAAACGGCACGTCAGCGGCGATGATGAAGACGGCCGAGATGTTGTGGCGGCGCTTCATGCCGTTGATCACGTCGCGCGCCGCCTCCATGCACCCCGCCATCAGCGCCTCCAGCACGCCTGCCTCCGCCTTGAAGCCTCGTTGCACTAGCTTGTGCAGCTGCAGGGGGGTGAGGTGGGAATAGGGCAGCATCGAGATGAGAATAACAATGACTCGTGGAAGGCGATGAACTCACGAGGTGGAAGGCGATGAACTCACGAGGATGAACTCACGAGGTGAAGGTGATGAACTCACGAGGTGGAAGGCGATGAACTCACGAGGTGGAAGGCGATGAACTCACGAGGTGGAAGGCGATGAACTCACGAGGTGGAAGGCGATGAACTCACGAGGTGGAAGGCGATGAACTCACGAGGTGGAAGGCGATGAACTCACGAGGTGGAAGGCGATGAACTCACGAGGTGGAAGGCGATGAACTCACGAGGTGGAAGGCGATGAACTCACGAGGTGGAAGGCGATGAACTCACGAGGTGGAAGGCGATGAACTCACGAGGTGGAAGGCGATGAACTCACGAGGTGGAAGGCGATGAACTCACGAGGTGGAAGGCGATGAACTCACGAGGTGGAAGGCGATGAACTCACGAGGTGGAAGGCGATGAACTCACGAGGTGGAAGGCGATGAACTCACGAGGTGGAAGGCGATGAACTCACGAGGTGGAAGGCGATGAACTCACGAGGTGGAAGGCGATGAACTCACGAGGTGGAAGGCGATGAACTCACGAGGTGGAAGGCGATGAACTCACGAGGTGGAAGGCGATGAACTCACGAGGTGGAAGGCGATGAACTCACGAGGTGGAAGGCGATGAACTCACGAGGTGGAAGGCGATGAACTCACGAGGTGGAAGGCGATGAACTCACGAGGTGGAAGGCGATGAACTCAGAGCGGTAGTGCACCGCAATGTACCGTTGGGGCAGGCGGGCCATGGCTCGATGCGCCATGGCGTGCCACGCCTGGCTGTACGGAAGCATCTGGAAGGAGATGGCGTTGGTGGGGGGTTCAAAGGCCACCCGACCGAATGTGCTCTTCACCCACACCTGCACGTCCACGTTCCGCCTGCAGCCATGGAACACACAGGAGATAGCAGAAGTCGTCAGAATTGAGGCCAAGTCGTTTGCGGATGGAAGGTGGGCGTGCTGGCTAAGATGGTTGCAACATGACAAGCTGCAATGGCAAGCTCTAAGTTGCTTGCATTGGCAGGCTCTGGGATCCAATTGCAAGCCCTGGGCTGCACAAACAGGAAGAAGGTGGAATGCATGTGTTACGAGCCGTTTCCTTCTTGAGGACTGCATGGCTCCATAAGGGGAATGCTATGGTGCGTGCTGTACAGGGATTCTGGACAGGATATGACGATGCTAGATTTAATAATAAATTTCTTCGCCAGCATCTGAAACCATGAAGCACGAAATAAGGGGATTGAGGAAATGAGAGTGGAATGGGGGCAGTGAGCATGGAATGAGGGTAGTGAGCATGGAATGAGGGCAATGAGCATGGAATGAGGGCAATGAGCATGGAATGAGGGCAATGAGCATGGAATGAGGGCAATGAGCATGGAATGAGGGCGGTCAGCATGGAGTGACGCACCACTTATTGAGCCTCTCGAGAACTGCAGAGTCGTTGGTTGGCATGATGATATCAGCAGTGTTGCGTCTGGAGGGTGCGTGGCCCATGCCGTACACAATCAGCTCACTCAGCATTTCCACCACCGGCCCTGCCCACCAAAGTACAACAAATAGAGATTCTGAGGCATGTGCACACCAAGGCGCACACACAGATGCACAGCAAGAAGCACCGAGTGGCGGTTTTAAGCGTTTCCTGACAGAATGTCATGTGATATGATGGGAAGCAATGGCATGGCACGAAAATCTAGTTTTGAGGCGCCTCAAAACTGAATTCGGCGGGTGGTACTTTCTTTGAGTGAAGGGCATGCGTCGTATGGTGGAGAACTGAAGATGCACATAGCCCACGGAGGGAGCGGCGCCACGTGTAGCAGCAGCAAATGGGGGTGCGAGAGCCGCTCTAGCGAGGAGCAGGAAGAGCTCGGGCGATATCCAGTGGGTGTGGAGGCGAGAGAGGTCGAAGTAGGTGCAGAGCGGTAGGGATCGGGCGAGTGAGAGGCGGCTGCGACTGGCCTGCCATGGTTGACATGTGAGGACGTGTGGGGGGAAGGAGAGAGGGGGAGAAGGGGAGAGAGGGGAGAGGGGAGATAGGGGAGAGGAGAGGAGAGAGGGTGAGAGTGGAGAGGGGGGAATGGAGAGGAGGCGGGAGGGGGGAAAGATGGGAGGGGGGAGACCGGGAGAAGGGGAGAGGGGAAGGGGAGAGGGGATGGGGTGGAATTGGATGAGATGAAGTGGGGTTTTAAGGACGGCAAAGAGGGGAGGAGGGGGGTGGGGGGTCCCACAGAGAGGAAGGGGAAACATAAGCACAAGAGGCGGGAGACAGCAGATAATGTGGAGTGCTACGCTGGGCACAAAGCGAGTGGTACGTTGGGCATCAAGGGTATACCACCCCATGCCCTGGATCACAGGGCCAAAATGGGGCTTATTCAGAGGCGCAGCGGCTGGTTCTCAAACCTCCGTGTGAGCCCGCAGGCATAGCAAAGGGAGCAGAGCAGAGCAGCACAGCACCTTGGGCAGCACGAGCAGTACCTTGGGCAGCACGAGCAGTACCTTGGGCAGCACGAGTGTGCGGTTGGTGGCTTGGGCGAAGCGGACGGCCTCTGCGAGGTGAGTGCGCGTGTTGGACAGCTGCTCGTCCGAGTAGGCGAACACCAGGAACTTACTCGCTCTGGTGGCCTGGGGGGGAGGGGGGTGGGTGGTTGGGGGGTGAGATGGAGGGCGTGGGAAATGAGTTGAGTTTTGAGTCGACTCACAACTCGGCTGCTTGTCGGAGTAGGCGAATACGAGGAAACTGCGCGCCCCTGACGATGAGCTGGTGGGCTGGGAGGGAGGGAGAGGGAGAGAGGAGGAGGGGGCAGGGAGAAGGGTGGGAATGGAGGAGGAGGCAAACGAGTTGAGAGTCGACTCAAAACTTACCTGCTTGACGGGGAGTAGGCGAAGACAAGGAACCCCTGGTGGGCTGGGAGGGGATGGCATGGAGGGAGGGAGAGGGACACGGGGCTCAGAGAGGGACTCTTAGAATCCTTGATCGCGCTTGTGTGCCCTGGCGGACTGGGGGGGATGTAGTGAAGAGAGGGAAGCGGGGCGAGCTTGGGGAGGAGAATCAAGGGAGAGGGGCAAGGGAGGGGGGGGGGGGATGAGGGGGAGTTTGTGTGTTGTGATGGACGAGAGGAAGACAGTAGGGTGAGGAAAGAGGGACGATAAGGAAGGAGATGGGGAATCGGGAGCACCATGACATCGGAGAAAGGCATGTGCGGCACAGGCCAGCACGCCTCAGGCCACGTGCTGCACTTTGCAACCCCTGCTCCCGCTGCTCCTGCTCCTGCTTCCGCTCCCGCTCCGCTGCTGCTCTCCGCTCCTTCTCCCGCTCCTGCTCCCCCTGCTGCTCCCGCTGCTGCTCCCCCTCCCGCTGCTGCTCCCACTCCAGCTGCTGCTCCCGCTCCTGCTCCCGCTTCAGCTGCAAGCACCTCCCACCCTGGCCACCCGCATTGCCCTTGTCGCCGCACTCGCCGACCAGGCTGGCTTCTATCTCGCGCACCCCACGGCACACTGCATCCACGCCGGCTGCTATCCGCGCCAGTGACGTCATCTTCCGCTTCACCGCCCTCCCCACGTACGCACTCGCCGCTGCTGCTCGCGCCAGCGCCGCCCGCCCCCACGCCGCGGAGCACAGCGGCGCGGCGGAGTCTTCTGGGGCCGCGGCAGTAGGTGCAGCAGCAGGGGCAGCAGCAGGCGCAGCGACAGGAGCAGGAGCAGGAGCAGCAGGAGAATTAGGAGTAGTGGGAGAAGCAGCAGCAAGAGGAGCAGCACTGCCAGGGCTGACAAAGTCAGCAGCTGCGCTCAAAATTGTGTCAACGGTGCTGCTGGCGCCGCCGGTGATGGTACTAACGATTCTACTACTAGCACTAGTAGTCGTGGAACTGTCGGCGGCAGGGCCGCTATCAGCGGGGTGAGCGGGGCTATCAGCAGCAGGGCCGCTGTGGGGTTCGCGTGTGACCTGCGAGTGTGCGCTCGGCGGCAGCTCGGGCGACTCCCACTGGCAGGCGTCCTCGGCGTCTCTCCGCCTCGCTTCTGCCGCCCACTGCTGCAGCGCGCTCAGCACCTCTCTCCTGCACGCGGCGGCGGCACGCTTCTGCGGCGGAGTCAGCGCGGGCCCGCGGGCGTTAGTTGAGGAGAGGGCGCGGGGGATTCGCATGGCCGTCACGCACGAATCGCTCATGCGATACGCGCGCGCTGCTTGCTGGGCACGCCCAGCCGCACTGGGTTGGACGGGAGGAGGCGCGACCACACTAGCAGGTTGAACGGGAAGAGGCGCGGGAAGCACAGCAGCAGTGAGATTACTAAGTGAAGCATTTCTGCTAGCAGAGGCCACGGCGGGCTTGGTTAGTAGCAGTAGCAGTAGGGGATCGTCGGTGAGGTTTTTTAGAGGTAGAATAAAAGGGCCGCAACAACGGAGTTGGAGACTGCGGAAGGTGAATGGAGCGTCGACCGGCGACGGCGCTATGAGTTGATGGTAACACACGCGAATGAGGCACGAGAGTACGACCAGTACCGCGAACGAGCGCAATATTCGCTCTACGGAGTTACTAACAGAAAGACGTCGCAGGGACAGTAAAAATGCCATTATTGCATCTCGCCTTCATTCCCGTCCCGGGGCACTCGCATCACTCATATCAAGGCCGTCTTGCACCAGTAGTAGTAGCTTTCTTTTAGTCGCCGTATACGCGGCCGCGAACGTTCACGCCCCGGCGCTGGCCGGCCAAGATGTCGCATTTCCACCTTTGTACTACTGGCGGATCTCGTCTCGTCTCGAGATACTAGCGGCAACGAGTGATATCGGACGGAACTGAAGGCGGTGCATGCCTGGGTGAAAAGCGAGAAGGAGCGAGGCAGCAATAGTTCAATCGTCGGCGTGCGGGTTTCTGCTGCCATGGAAGTGAAGTAGCTCAACCGTTTCAGAAGCGAACCGCTTTGAAGAACACTGCACTCCTCGAATGGCGCATGGGATATCTGTGGCGTGGCGTGGCGTGGCGCGCTGTAAATGTACAAGTGTTCTCCTATGCGGTTCCGCGCTAGTAGGCTCCATTTTCAGAAAAGAGGAGCTTTTCCTATACGGTAATTCCTAGGTGTAGCCCCTCCTCCACAGTCCCTATTTGGAAAGAACTTTTGCAGCGTGAAGCGGGGGTTGATAACTGCTCCCTGCACAGTTCCGCAGCCAATCAGAGGAACCAAATTGAACAAAACCAGCATTAACAGAAATTACTCAGGAAATAAAGTAGTTGTTTTATATTTGTTTTTAGACTGTTATTGCTTGTTTATCTTGACCGAGCTCGGTTCTGCTTCCCATCGCACGGTCCCCAGCGATCTTGACGATGGCATCTCATGAAGATAGCTGATGGGTCAAATAAAACAGTAAATGCTGTGCGAGCTCGTATCGCCAAGTGCTGAGGACATCTCATCGAGCAAAGGAGCTCTCGCTGTTGCGGAAGGCGAGGAGAGGAGGATGATGAAAGGTGAGAAGAGGCACTGCACACTGCTGGAGAAACCACCACAGGCCAGGAGGAAGATGGAGGAAGGGTAGGGCAGGCAGAGATTGCAAGCAAGCGCAGGGAAGGCGAGGAAGTTGAAGGCTGAGAAGAAGCACAGCGCACTGCTTGGAAAAATTACGTAATGCCCCAAGAGGGAGACAGTGCTGAGAGTGGCTATCTTGGCTTTGCTCCTGCCGGATCGTGCCGGCAGACGGGCGGGAGGGGTGATGGCAGGCAAGGGTGCGCAAGGCAGAAAAGGCAGGGCAGGAAGAAAGAGCAAGGAAGGGCAGGGAGGAAGAGGATGATGAAGGTTCAGAAGAGGCAGAGCACTGTTTTAAGGATGTAGGGCCTGGTGTAGCGTAACACCCGCCTTCCTTGGCCTTGTGTCTGCCAAATAGTGCCCTGTTGGAGGTGAAGGGAAACGGGTGGGTAGGCAGGTGAGTGACGGCAGTGAGGGTAGGGCATCACAGTGGGTGGCATAGGAGATAGAAAGCACCCACGCTCCTCACTTTTGTGGTCAGGGCATGGGTGAGGATAGAGGGTAGCTTCTCGCTTTTGCTACATTCACCCCTTTTCCTCCACTCCCCCACACACACTGCCTTTTCCCTCAGGTCACTACATGCCCCTCTTCTCACCACCTACCCAGTCTGTGGCAGTGCAGTGGCAACCCAAGGGGCTGGGGAGGAGGTAGGTCGGGGAGAGGTGCATACCATACCTTCCCTCCCACCTCCCTTCTCCACCAGCTCACTGCTTTACCCCTGGGCTCACTGTCACCTCAGGTCACCCCTTACCCGGGAGGAGGGCATGAGGGACTTGAAGCGAGTGGCAGTTCCATGGCAGGCCAGGGGAGCAACCCTGCCTGAAGCAGCCTTGTTTTCTTGCTCTCAACGCCATTCATTCTGCTACCTACCCGGGAGGACGGAATGAAAGAAGGAGGAGGCGCTACCTTCCCTCCCTCCAGTCCTATTCCTCCTCACTCCTCAAGACACCACCTACTCGGGAGGAGGGAAGGAAGGACTCAAAAGTGAGTGGTAGCGCTGTGGCAGGCCAAAGGTGGAGGAAGGGCGTTGATCGGTGCTCACCATTGCACCTCTCCACTTCCGCTCACCACGCATCTCCTTCTCCCTCTGCTCTTCTTTCAAGAACACCCACCCATGGTGTGCCATGGGACACCCACCTACAGCCCCACCCAGCCTCGCCTCACCTGTGACCCACTACTAGACACTCGCAAGTATCGAACCACCCAGCCCGCTATCTCCCACCCACTCCTCCTCCTCCCTCGCTCGTCCGTCCTCAAGAACTGCCAAGGTGCTCCCAGCAGCCCCGCCCCACCCGGCCTCGCACCACACGCCTCCTTCTTCGTCTGCTCGTCACCCAGAATGAAAAACGCCACGACGCACCCAGCAGCCCAGCCTGCAGCCCCTCCCGTGTTGCTGCAGGGGTGAACAGCGCGCCAGCGCCAGAGGGGTGGGCGAGCTGGTGGAGCACAAGTCGGTGTGGGAGAAGCAGTAGCGGAGCTGATGTGGGGAAGGGTGGAGGGGGGAGGAAAAAGTTTAATGGGCGTTGAAAGGAAGGTGGGTTGCAGCCTTGGCAAAGAGTGAAAGAGAGCGCAGAGCAGCGCAGGGTGTGATAAGTCGATTTTTTTAGTCGACTAAAAAGTCAACTTATCACACAGAGGTTGGAGGGGGGGGAAATAACGGCAATGGGTGTTGAAAGGAAGGTGGCTTGCAACCTTGGCAAAGAGTGAACCAGAGCGCAGCGCAGGGTTTCTTGGTCATGCCGTGCCAATCGAGGACTGTCTTTGGGCCGCCTCAAGAGTTGGGAACACCGCACAGCCTCCGCAGCTCAGCAGCCGGCAGGTTCCGTGTGAAGTGAAGAGTGCGCCCCTGTTGCACGGCGGGGGACTCATGGGCCAGTAATCTACTCTTGAGGTGCCTCAAAAGTAGACTCAGCAGCCGGCAGGTTCCGTGTGAAGTGAAGAGTGCGCCCCTGTTGCACTGGCGTGGCGGGGGATTCATGGGCCAGCAATGGGTGCTGGAGAAGCAGGTGCGGTGCGGAGGACTTTTGAGACGTCTCAACTCAAAAGGCCCATGTTGCATTGGCGTGGCGGGGGATTCATGGGCCAGAAACGGGTGCAGGAGAAGCAGGTGCGGTGTGGAGGAGCTGGTGGGAAATTGGGGGAAGGGTTGGGAAGGGGTGGGAAGGGGAGAGGAAGGGACAGCGCGTGAACTGGCTAGTGCAGGGCCACCATAGGAGCGCGGCACCATAGGGGCAGGACTTTTGAGACGCCTTAGAAGGTAGTGTGGCGCCAGCATAGCGGCAGGAACCCGTGGGGCAGACGCAGACGTAGGCATGAGAATCGCACAGGTGAAGCTGAGAGGGGTGGGGAAGGGTGGGAAGGGGAGAGGAAGGGCCAGCTCATGAACTGGGTAGTGCGGCGCCAGCATAGGGGCAGGAATCCGTGGGGCAGACGCAGACGTAGGCATGAGAATCGCACAGGTGAAGCTGAGAGGGGTGGGGAAGCGGGATTGGGAAGGAGGGGGTGGGTGAGAGGGGGAAAGGGAGGGTAGGGGGAGGGGAGGGGGCAGTGCCTTGGTGAGCATTGCACCCGTGCTGTGGGGGGTGGGACCGTGCGGTGCAGTGGGTCTGTCAGACATGGGTGTTGGAGAAGCAGGTGCGGAGCGGAGCTGCTGGGAAGTTGGGGGAAGGGTTGGGGGGAGATGGGACCATGCAGTGGGTCAGACATGGGTGTAGGAGAAGCAGGTGCATTCCGAGCTGACTTTTGAGTCGACTCAAAAGTCACCCCGTGCTGTGGGGGCCGGGACTGTGCAGTGGGTCAGAAAGACATGGGTGTAGGAGAAGCAGGTGTAGAGCTGGGGGGAGGGAGGGTAGGGGGAGGGGAGGGGACAGTGCCTTGGTGAGCATTGCGCCCGTGCTGGGGGGGAGGGGGGGGGGGGGGGGGGTTGGGACTGTGCAGTGGGTCAGAGACACATGGGTGCAGGAGAAGCACATGTAGAGCTGGGGGGAGGGGAGGGGCCAGGGAAGGAAGGAAGGAAAATGGGCAGGGGCTTATGAGAGGAATGTGGGAAACAGTGCTGCGAGGTCTGGGTTGGAAGTAGGAATCCGGAATTGGGAGGGATGGGGAGGGGAGGTAGTTGGAGAAGGGTTGGGCGAATGAACCTCACCTAACCTGCACCCATCTTCTCAACTCACCTGGCATGCCCATAGCCTCCCTCCCTCACTCTTGCAACCACCTCACAACCATCTTCTCAACTTTGCTACTCCTCGCCAACTGACTCAAGTGATTCCTGCACGCTCCTCTCCCCGCACCCTCCACGCACCTCCCCCCCCCCCCCCCCCCCCCCCTCCACCGACTCTCACCTTGCTATCTCCAGCCTGCTAACCGCCCCAACCCAAAACCCTGCCACCCATCAGTAGCAGCGTAAAAAAAGAGTGTTTCGAGAAGTCTCAAGACACACCTTTTCCCCTCCCAACCCCCTCCACCGACTCTCACCTTGCCATCTCAAGCCTGTTAACTGCCCCCACCCAAGCCCCTGCCACCCATCAGTAGCACCCTTCGCATCCCATTTGGCCTAACCCGCCCCAGCAGCAACCCCTCCTTCACCGCCCCTTGACCACTCCTCGAGTGACCAACCCACACGCCCCTACCCCATAGAGACCTCTCATTGACTCTCGCACACATACCCACCACCCCTCATTGACTCTCGCATTCATACCCACCACCCCTCATTCACTCTCGCATACATACCCACCACCACTCATTCACTCTCGCATTCATACCCACCACCCCTGATTCACTCTCGCACACATACCCACCACCCCTCATTGACTCTCGCACACATACCCACCACACCTCACCGCTCTCAACTTGGCAATACCCAGCCTTTCCACACTACCATTCCCACGTCAGTACCCCCCCCAACGCATCTCAATGACACAGCCGCACAGCACTCACCCATTGTGCAACGCAAGACCAGTCGAAGCCACGAGAGCAGCAGGCATGTGATTGCTAAATGTGTTTTGAGTCGACTCAAAACACAGCTGCACTGCACTCACCCCTTTCGTAACGCAACTTCATTTGAAGCCACAAGAGAAGCAGGCATGTGATTGCGCAAGTGCCACATGTGATGTGTGGCAGGGCACGATGCAAGCAACAATGCGTATCTCGCGTCCTGCCTGCCTGCCACCTTCCCATCCCATGTGCATCCAGAGAATGACGGCCGACTTTTGTGCGCTGTAGGTCGCCATTCAATGGCTGGAGTCATGCTGTGGCGTGCAAGTAGAGGCGCTGAGATTTGACTGAGGACACGATGAGGGGAAGAAAATGGGGCGGATGGTAGGGGGGAAGGGGGAAGGGTGGGGGATGGTAGAGACGAGGATGAGGGGAACAAAGTGGGGCTTTAGTGGGGACAGGGGAGAGGGCAGGGAGCCACTAGGCACGTCAGCACTGGCTGCTAAAAAGAGGGACAAGCGGCATTGAGCGGCCTTGATGTGCAAGTCATAGGAGAAGTGCTGAGCAGGCAACACGTGACCGGCAACACGTGACCGGCAACACGTGACCGGCAACACGTGACCGGCAACACGTGAGCAGGCAACACGTGACCGGCAACACGTGAGCAGGCAACACGTGACCGGCAACACGTGACCGGCAACACGTGACCGGCAACACGTGACCGGCAACACGTGACCGGCAACACGTGACCGGCAACACGTGACCGGCAACACGTGACCGGCAACACGTGACCGGCAACACGTGACCGGCAACACGTGACCGGCAACACGTGAGCAGGCAACACGTGAGCAGGCAACACGTGAGCAGGCAACACGTGAATGGCAATCACGACGTCATAACAGCCTTTGCCAAGTGGCACCATGCCATTGGCATGACCGGCGTATCCATCCGCCCAGCAAACCTGTTCAATTCATCATCCCATGCACGTCCCTATCCTTGCTCTGTTTCATCTCACGAGCCATGCCATTAGGTCATGTCCCATAAAGCCCGTCTGTCACCACGTTAGTAGACAGCACCCACCTAAGCACCGGCTAAAAAAACTACTTGCTGTTGTGACGCTATGTATAGGGAATAATGAAACACGGAAAGCTGCATGATTACCATCGCGTTACCGCGTCCTTGTAAGACAATCGAGTGCTGACCTTGTATGTAACCCTTCGATTTATCGTCCCTGAGACCATAGAGCATATACCGCCCTCTAGTTCACTCCCCCCTCCACTCTCTGTCCCCCCTCCCTCGCCTCTCCTCTGAACTCCGCTTCTTCCTCTCCTGCTGCCCTCCCCTCCCCCCTCCCGCCCTACATCCCACCCTCCCTTGACGCTTCCCTCCCCTCTCCCCTCTCTGACCCCACCCGCGCCTCTCCCCTTTCTAACCCTACACTACACTTGGCTCCCCTCCCGTGCCAGCAAGCCACCCTTCACGCCTCTCATGCTGCAGCCATGCCATGCCGCCTCCATGCCTCCCACCATAGCCACCATCCCCATGCCTCGAATCATCAACATAGGTCCCACCACCACCCCCATCACGTGCCCTTGTTCTCCTGCTCCTCCTCCTCTTCATCATCCTCCTCCCCCCCCCCCTCCTCCTCCTTCTCTTCCTCCTTTCCCACACCCTTCCCCGCTCCCTCCCCCAACCCCTCCCATTCCATCAACTCCACTTCCGTCACCTCCCACTCCCCCTTCTCCCCAGCACCCTCCTCCCCATCCCCCTTCTCTCCAGCACCCGCTTCCTCCTCCCCCGTCCCCCACTCCCCCGTGCCTGTCTCGCCAGCACCACCATGCGTTTCAAGCGCCTCACTCGCTTCTGCTTCGGTGTCTGCCTCTCCTTCCCCCGCCTCACACCAATGCTCTCCCACGTTGCTGCCTTCACCCGCACCCGCCCCTCACCGCGCCCTCCCCCGCGTCCCCCCCGCACGCGCACCCCTCCTTCAGCCCGTCCTTGCGACCGCCCTCTTGCCCTTTTCGCGTAATCTCCCCCTTCCCTCTCCCCCGCCCGTCTCCACCCCTCCGCCTGCCCCTTCTCCCCTCCGCCGCCCTCCTGCTCCGCTCCCTGCTCCCCCCACTCCTTCCGCTCGCCTGGTTTCCGCCAAACCCAAATCTCACGAGCTAGTATCCCCCCTCCCCCTCCCATCCCTGCGCCTCCCCTCCCCGCTCCGACTCCCCGTCCCCCTTCGCGCGGCCGCCCGTCACTGCTACCCCCATCTGCGCCCCCCCTCCCACGGGCGCGCAAACCGAATTCCAACGGAATCTCGCGGAGGCGGCATTAGAAGCGCGCGCGCAGGGGGTGGCGGAGGAAGTGGTGTCGGCGGCGGCGGGGAAATGATCCGGGCGGATTAGCGACGCCGCCGCCGTCGACCGCTGTCTCGGTCGCTGCCACCGGCGGGAGTCTCGTCTGCGCGCGCGCGCTTGCCCAACACGCCATCGCTTCTCCTCGCGCCTCTGCTGTCGGGGCTCTCGCCATCGCGAATTGGTTTCTGCCGCCTGATCGTCGTCGCGGTTGTTCTCTCGTCGCAACCCCGTCGCAATCCGTCGATCTCTCGTCGCCTCTGTCGCTCTCTCGTCGCAATCCGTCGATCTCTCGTCGCAATCCGTCGATCTCTTGTCCCAAACCGTCGCAGTCCGTGGCTCTCTCAGCGCCGTACGTCGCGCTCTCTCGTCGCCTGTCTGTCGCTCTAACGCAATAGCGAACCCTCCGTTACTTGAAGCTCCAGTCGTCCTTCCATTGCGCCACTGTTGCCCGTGTAATCCCTCATTCCGTCGTCCTGAAGAGATTCGTGCTACGTCTTAGGGCGTGTTACTTCGAAGTGTTTTTGCTACATTTCGACCCCTGCCTCAAACCGTTCTTCGAACGGGGTTCAAGCTGGATCATATCGAGTGGTTCGAGCCAGGACCCGAATCCGCCGCCGCAGGCATAAACACAAGCAAAAACTCCCTTGCAAGTTCGATTGTCGGCAATCGAACTGCCCGCGTTGCCCGGCTGCATGTAAGTTCGTGTTATCACCAGTGACCGTCGCGACATGAGCAAATTAGTTACCACCTAAAGTTCGACTTCCACTAAGCAAACCCGAACTACAGTTCACACGGCCTTAGCGAACTGAACATTATGATGTAACACAGGAAAGGGAAATTCGCTTGAGTTCTTCGCTCGAAAGAGAAATTAGACTGGAAACCACAACAGCGAACTTGAAACGAGATTGACGTCATGACATTTTGTCGCGAATACCGTAATTTCGCGGAAGCCTTTTCTTCGCACAGGCCCAGTGGGGAGGTGGCCAGGCAGAAGCGTCATCGAAGTAGGGTGAGCCTCGTTCCAGAAGACTCCCAACATTCCATTCCTCCGCTAGTGCGTTTCCATCCTAGTCCAGCCCAGAGAGCGTGCCGCGTACCCAGCAGCTAGCGTGTTTTTACAGAGTCATGGCGGCCATTATCTGCAGTCAAGCGTCTAACAAGCTTTCTTACTACTCGTGTAACCTCCCTTCAGCCTAATCTCAATTCTCGCATCGTTCTCCACCCATAAATCTTCTCCGTGATACCACTCTCGCCGTTGACATCATGGCTCCAGTCAAGGTCTACGGCATGAACATGTCGACATGCACCAAGAGGGTGCTCACCACTCTCGAGGAGAAGGCCGTTACGGTACGCGAGTAACATCTTAGGTTCTTTCTCAGATCAGGATGTTGCTTCAACAACAGAACTTTTTATGTTTTAATATGAAATAGGCTAATGCCAATTTAATCTGTCTTTCTCAGGACTACGAGGTGGTTACCGTGGATCTCGCGAAAGGGGAGCACAAGTCGGAAGAGTTCACGAAGAAGCAGGTGGGCGGAATTTCCCATTCTACACGTGAAAGTCACCATGGTTATACCTTTCAACGTTCCGTTTGCATCACACTACAGCGTTTCGTTCAGCAACCCCTTGAATTCTCAAATGTGTGGCCTGGGATTGCGTTCGTCTGTTTCCCTCCATGACCCTGTTATCCCGCAGCCTTTTGGAGTGATTCCCTATCTCGACGATGGGGATGTTCAGGTCTTCGGTACGTTCGCATTCCCAACACTTTTCTTTCCACCATCCATTCAGCTCTATCCATTCACGCTCTGGTTGTTTATTTTACTGCTCCACACAAACCTCTTGCAGAAATGTTCCTAGCGTCGTTTCATCTATACTTACCAAGTTTTTGCTAAAAGTGGCATAATCCTCACCCAAATGCCATTCCCTGTGCAACCAACAGAATCGCGTGCCATCGCTCGTTACATCGCTGAGAAGAATTCTGGCCAAGGCACCGACCTTCTCGGCTCCACGCTCAAGGTACCGTATGCAAATCAAACACCTTTTCCCTCCTTAGCCTGCTGACATTCCGCCATTCAGACTTGGTCGCCGATAGTTCCAGCAGTGACATTCAATTGCCTACAAGCATGTCTGTTGAGTCAACTCAACAACCGTCTAGCAACCAGCAAGATTTCATCTCCTCAGTCGTTTTCAAGTGGTGTGTGCTGAGTCGATTTTTTTACATTTTTATAAGAATCTCTTTCATTTGGTTTTCTACTGCGCGTGTACGTACGGTGCAGGAGCGTGCGCTGGTGAACCAGTGGTTGGAGGTGGAGGCGCAGAACTACAACCCGCCACTCTCAGCGCTGATTGCGGAGAAAGTGTTCAAGCCCATGTTCGGTGGGGGCCAGCCCGACCTCGCCAAGGCGGAAGAGCTCAAGGCCAAAGTAAGTCATGAAAATAGCCAGGCGTTGCAGATTTTTAGGGTTTCGTTCCCTATTTGGTGGAAAATTAAATATCTAGATGAAATTTCTGTTCAAACCATCTATCTCTGCTTTCTTCTGCCTGCTATCCCCTCCTTCCCGCAGTTGTCCAAGGTGCTTGACGTGTACGAAGCCCATCTGGCCAGCAGCGAGTATCTGGCGGGCTCCCATTTCTCCCTGGCGGATCTGTCCCACCTGCCCTACACCGCTCTGCTGTGGGTGTCGGGGGATTCGGATCTCATCACTTCGCGTCCCAATGTGAACAAATGGTGGGAGAGGATTTCCTCTCGCCCTGCCTGGAAGAAAATTTCCGCACTGTAGTGAGAGAGGGTGCAGCTGTTACCTAATTTGCTTGCCTATATGTGTGGTATACTATCAATGAACCATTTATTTAGCTCTGCTACAGCTGTGTGGAAAGTTGAATCTCTCAGAATGAGTGTTAGTGTAATCTAATCCTGAACCATAGAATGCAAGACGGTGCCAAGAGGGCGGTTGTTGCCAGAACAAGTCTAACTCCCAGCCTGGTTGACTGTGTTGGAAACAATAAATTGTAAACGCCTCTGTCGTGTCGAAACACCACACCAGAAGCGAAGCACGCCATATCGAAGCACCCGCGAGTCAACCCTCGGAGGTTAAAAGAGGTTGCTGGAGGTTACGCGAAAGTCAAAGGTCAAGCGACCTTTGACCTGACAAATGCAGCGCGACAGCAAGGACACACAACTGACTCGTTACAGAGCAGTTGCCCGAGTCGTCATTGTATCGAACCGCAACAGCAAAAGTAGTTACAACTATATCCTTTCGTATTCCTTGTAATCTTCTATATATTCTTGTATCCCTTTGCTATAATCAACTTACTTTGCCCTCACATACCGTATCACCCCGGATATAAGCGCAGGCCTATTAAAAGCGCATGCGCTTCTATCTGGAGCAATGCGCTTATGGCCGATCCTCAATTATAAGCGCACCCCCTTAAAAAACATGATTTATTATAAGCGCATGTTAGTTTTAAATTGAAAAACTGCCAAATTTATGTAACGAAGTTCACTTTAGAAGGTGATGAGTTGAAAATCAGATTTCCTTCGCATTCAAACCCTTCACAGGCTGCGCGTCCAATCAGCAAGTGCTGTCAGCAGCTCCTAGTGACTCATTTTGACTGTATGTGCTGGCAGGGAATCTTTCCCTGCCAAGTAGCGAGAGTTTTTCACCCACAACCCTGTTTCAAATCGACTCGATTGGGTGCGCAATGACGGGAACTACATTTTCGTGCTAGTAGTTTACAAATGTATATTTGTTATTTTATAAGCGCATGCGCTTATATTTGTTACTCAATTATAAGCGCACCCCCCTGAAAAATCATGTTTTATTATAAGCGCAGGTGCGCTTATATCCGGGGTTATACGGTACCAGCGCAAGGTGGTTCACAAATTCTCCACTAATACGCTTCCGCTATTACATAGTCCTACCGGAGTTTTACCCCCGCAAAGATCCTAAGGGCTTTTCTCAGCCCAACATGGTATGAGAGCTAACAGGGGAAACTCCACTACTATCAAGTCATTACAAGACATGGCAACAAACAAGGAAAGGAGCTCCTCCAACGGCTCCCCGGGCACTACTCCTACTCCACCTCCTGCCTCTGGCCTGCAGACAGAGGAGGGCACTGCAACAAGACCTAGAGGAACATCTACTGAAACTCCCGTAAATCACCCCGCCAGCTTCGACCAAAACATGATGGAGAAGTTCTTCTCCTTCATGTCCTTCTACGAGCAGCACCAGCAGTCGGGACCTGCACAGTCATACAACAGCAACAACAACAACAGGGCAACACCCATGAGTCTTGACGGGTCGTCATATGCGCGCGGAAACCAACAGCAGCAACCCACCTTCGCCCCGTACGAGCGCGGGTCGATCAGCTTCATGCCGCAGCCTTCACCTGGACAAGATAAACCACTGGACGCGTTACAAGTGCAATCACAGTTCGCGCACGTCAAGGCCCTTCGACGGAAAGGACTTCTTCACCTGGTCATTCGAGTTCGAGTTAATGATGGAAGGCGCGCAGATACTCGGCTTCTTCGACGGGTCCCTGCAATATCCAGCAAACGGCACACAGTATGAGAAGCAGCAGTATACGTATCAATCGATGATGGCGTATACGATTCTGCTGAGGAACGTCACACCAACTCAGCAGCAAAACATACGCTCTTACCGGGGTTACGGCAACTCCGCTGAGCTCGCGTACAGCCACCTGAAGAGCCTGTACCAAGCAACAGACAGTGTAAACCAGAGCAGGTTAATGGCGCAATTGACAACAGTCGAAATGAAACCGGGAGAAAAGGGAATGACGTATATCAGCCGATGTCGGGAACTGCGCGACAAGCTTCTTCGATGCGGAGGGTCAATCTCTGAAGACGCCTTCGTGACAGTCATCATTGGTGGTCTCGGTCCCCAATGGCGCGCCACCAAAGCTATCCTCCGAGCCCACGGCAGAATTTCTGAAGCAGCACTCTGCGCCGAAATCCACGCCGAGCAGCAGGACATGGACCTGCAAGAAGAACGACACAGAAAGAAGACGACAACATCAGAGTTCGCGTTTCACACTCAACGACGTCACAACAACTACAACAATCGACAGCAACAACCGAAGCCAGTACCTCCTTTTGTCAAAATAGTATGTAGTGTTAGGAGCCATAGCTAGGAGAGTCCTAGCTAGGCAAGAGACAGTTTAGGCAAAAGAAGAGGGTTTTTACTAGCAGCAATGAGGATACAAAAGAAGAGGGTTTTTACTAAGCCGCACACCGAAGAAGCGAGCGCACAGTTCGGGGTCGTCGGACAGTGGGTCCGTGTAGTGCGCTTGGCTTTGATGCTGTAATGGGTGGGGGGAGTGTTTGTTGGAGGGCATGCCTCGAAGGGTGGGCTCATCTTTGTAGTTGTGGTTGCTGGTTGTCAGTAGGGTTTGGTTTTGTGTGATGTTGTACTTTGTATTGCTGAGTGCTGGAGTTGCAAGCGAATGACACGGTTTACACATTATGAAGTAGACGGTGTGCAGAGCAGTGTAGTTTGGTTTGTTCAGTATATACAGTTGCTCGGAGTAGGTGTGCATTTATCGTTTCTGTGGTCCCTGTAGCGGGGGAGGGGCGACACGACAATACCGAGTATGTGTGGCGTTTTTGGCTCGAGCCGCATGTGTTCGAGGCGCATTCGTGGAGGCGGCGCGGATAATGGCGCAGGTGACCCCAAAGTGACATTTTGGTGGCGGTAATGTTGTGGTCCAGTGTGCGGTTATTGATCGCGCCAATGTTGCGTTTTACGGTCCTTGTTTTTCGGACACTTGTCGCAACAATCACGCAAGCCCCACGCAGAAAAACCTTCGGACACCCCAAAACGCAATTTCCCTTTTCCGCGAAGTAATATAGCAGTATTAGGGCAAAGTTTTCTCCTTGGTAAGCATTGGTAGTACCTCAAACCCTCATGCACGACAAAGGGGTGCCCTTGTGACATTTTCTGCGAGGCCCGCGGGCTCCAAAGAAAGATATGTTGGCCTCCCCTCCTGTAGCGCGCATCTCAGTTCACAGGAGGGAGCGCCCGAGTATGCTAGTAGTAGCAATCCGCATGCGGTTTGCACTGCTGCAATGCGTTTATTTTCTGGCCTCACTTGCTCTTCCAGCCCCACCGCTGCTATCTGTGACTCAGAAGGAAGTTGTATATCCATAATAGGTGCAAGTTGTACATCTCAGTAACAGAGCATGTACCCGCTCACTGACTTTGTGCCTGCCTTGCGAATGCAAAAAGTGTTGAGTCGTTTCTCTCCTTGCTTGTCCCCTGTGTCAGCGATATTTCTCAGAGATAGTCAAAAGGCATGGAATAAGACGTTATCAGGCTGGGCCGTTGGTGCTAACTGTAGCATTGCTGAAGGGCTCTCCTGTGACAAATCAGGCTCGATCACCGGAATGTGAGTGTGTGTATGCTCTTCTCTCTAGGATAGATTGGACATCATACCATGCCATGATGTCCGGCAGCATTGCTCTGTTTGATACCATTTGTTTTCAGTCCTGGCGTCACTTGTGTCCCCGCCAAATTTTCTTCTCTCTTCTTTCAATCCACCCACCAACCCACATAGAGATTTGAGCTATGCAGTTCTTGGAGGGTCTATTCCTGATAGCATCACCTCGCTCTCTTCTCTTATGACTCTGTAAGAATGATTTCGCATGAATAAAACGACGAGCTTGAATTTTTCATGCACATTCGTTCATGCTTAGGAAGTTTGGTAGTGGAGGTAAATGGCACGTTTGTAAATGACAACTGCAAAAAATGCAGTCAAGGCAGTGGAAATTCGATGGTGCCGCCAGTGGTGTCGCCTTGATCTTTGCTCCTGTCCTCCTTCCTCTCCTCTTTTGCCCCTTATTTCGCCTCCCACACTCTTGGAGCACTACAAGCTGGAAGTATATGTTTGTACTCATTACCAAGCATTCCTCTCCAAGCATTGCCTTCTATCTGATACAACGTTGTATCACTGCGTTTACTGTTCCATCCAAACGCGTGCAATGTGCGACCACTTCCCACCCTGTGAAATTGGAGATATGAGTTATTGTAAGCTCAATGGGCCTATTCCAGCTGGGATTGGAAACCTCGTGTCATTGGATTACCTGTAAGCTGAGAACGGGTGTGTCAAAATAGTATGTAGTGTTAGGAGCCATAGCTAGGAGAGTCCTAGCTAGGCAAGAGACAGTTTAGGCAAAAGAAGAGGGTTTTCACTAGCAGCAATGAGGATACATATAGCAAACCCTAGATGGGTTGTACTCGCTACAGAGCACCCCACTACAGGCTAGAGAATAACATTCTGACACACCCCCATAGCCAAAGTGGGGTGTAATCAGCAGAGCAAACAAAGCAGTACAAGCTCAGGGTGGATCACAATGTCACCACACATTCTGAGCACAAGTTCAAGAAGCAATAGTTTAAAGTTCACAATTATGAGCAAAGCTAGTGGTAGTCACAACGGGCAAGTGAGGAGGAGGAAAGAGACTATGAGAGGAGAGGAGGTAGTGGGCGGCAGCTGAAGCTGCTGGCACACGGCGCAACTGGAGCAACTGGCACACGGGCAACTGGAGCAACTGGCACACTGGCAACTGGAGCAACTGGCACACGGGCTACTGGAGTAACTGGCTCCGCGGCTAAAAGTAGCGGCAGACGAGCAACGGACTCACGGGCGACTGGAGCAACGGGCTCACGGGCGACTGGCGCAACGGTCTCACGGGCGACTGGAGCTGCTGGCTTGACGGCGGCCACCCCCTTCAACCTCCCCAAACTATCCCACTCCCCCTGACACACACCCGCTGCTACACCGCTAGCTCCACTCCCCTTTCACCCCCCCCTTAGTACCACTCCGTCGGCTCCAACAGGTCCACCCCCCCTCAGCGGCAGCTGCAGCACAGGGAGACGGAGGAGGAGGAGGAGCAGGGAACGGCACTCAGAAGCTGCACCCCCATACCCCCCACCCCCAAACCCTAATCCAGGAGAACGGGCAGAAGGAGGGGTGGGGCGCCTTCAGAAGCACGGGGGACAGCGGGGAGGACAGGGGCAGCGAAGAACGGGCCGCCCACGGGCCTGGCACAGCCTCCCGAACCGCGCGCAGGCGGTCCGAGCCGCGCGCGGGCCTGGCGCAGCCCGTACGGGCCGCGCGCAGGCCTGGCGCAGCCCGTACGGGCCGCGCGCCGGCTGTACGGGCCGCGCGCAGGCCACGACGGGCGACGGGGGGCGACGCGCGGGTCCCCGTCGCCCGTCGCAGCGCCTCCCGGGGGCGACGCGCCGAGTGACGGGGCAGAAACCCGCCGCGCGCCTCGGGGCACACGGCGGGCAGAGAACCGCCGCACGCCTCGGGGCGCACGGCGGGCAGAAAACCGCCGCGCGCCTCGGGGCGCACGGCGGGCTGAAAACCCTAATTTCGACGCCGCGCACCACGGGGCGCGCGGCGGACAGGGAGTAGCAGTAGCAGCGGAAGCAGTGAAGTGGGCCCACAGGCCAGGAACGTTAAGCTCTGATACCATGTCAAAATAGTATGTAGTGTTAGGAGCCATAGCTAGGAGAGTCCTAGCTAGGCAAGAGACAGTTTAGGCAAAAGAAGAGGGTTTTCACTAGCAGCAATGAGGATACATATAGCAAACCCTAGATGGGTTGTACTCGCTACAGAGCACCCCACTACAGGCTAGAGAATAACATTCTGACACCTTTCTGCCACATCTGCAAGACTTCAGGACACCCGCGCACGCACTGCCCGAATCGACAACAGTCAACGACTCCGCAGCGACAGCTACGACCTTCAAGCAATCAAGTCGCATCAACACAGGCGAATCCAACGACCCAGCTCCAATCTTCAACAACTCCAACGGGACAACCTGCGCAAGGAACAAGAAACATCGTTAGCTGCATGGCAAGACTGAACGATTCTTGCATCACAGAATCACCACCGTACTACTCACCAGAAGAGCAACTCGACGAAACGACACCACGCCGCGAGTCACTTCAGCCGAACCCGACATACGCTGCCATAGCCCAAAACGAGCCATCCGGGAAGGACACGTGGTTCTTGGACAGTTGCTGCGGACAACACATGTGCTCCTCAGGACGCTTCGTACAACGAGAATACCAGCTTCAACGAGAGGTGGTCATCACCGTCGCCAACAATCAGAACCTGCGCACACGACGACAAGGAGTTGTTCAACTTCAGTCACGAGAAACGAACGTCATTCTACAGATGTCCAAGGTTTTAATTGCAGAAGGCCTCGGCTACAACTTACTCAGCGTCAGTCAACTGATGGCGAAAGGCATTCACCTTGAAGCAGACAGCACAACCCAGGAATTCAAGCTGTACCACGGGAGAGGAGGTCTCTACATCGGCAAGGCGGTTCTCAAGAACAACGTCTTCGTTCTTGACTTCGTCCCCGATCTCGGAACGGCCGACAGCGACGCCATCGTCAACTTCACTGACTGGACACATCCTCCAGATCTTGATCCAGACTTCAGCCCGAGCGGCTTCTGGTACTCACACACCATCCCTGAAACAGAAAGAACAAGGGCGCTGGCGACAATTCAGCAGTCGGCAGCAGCAGAGACAACATCAGCAGCAGCGGAGACAACATCGGCAGCAGCAGAGACAACATTGGCAGCAGCAGAGACAACATCGACAGCAGCAGAAACAACATCGACAGCAGCACAGACAAAAGCAGCAGCAGCAGAAACATCAACACCAGTCGTCGGTCCCTCAACGGCACAGCCCTCCATCGACGAGACGCCGCCAACACCGGCGCAGCAGCTCAACCCGGCACCACGGGAAGTTCACAGAAGCGCGAACATCATCGCCGGCTTCTACTCCAACTCCGACATGTACCGACGCTCGCCAGGACACCGCGCCAACGAAGAAACCTGGCACGCAAGAATGGGACACCCAAGCAACACAGCATTAAACAACACGATAAGAGCTGGAGTACTTGACAAGGATTCACTCTTACTGATCGACGGCAGAGAACTTCAGCGAGCCCGAGGAACGTGCTTCACCTGCCCCGAAGCTGACTTACCGCATCAGCCCTTCGTCTCGCATCACAACCCAAGCGCACCTGCATATTCACCACTCGAGAAAGTGTACAGCGACATCTTGTACAACCGCGAACCCGGACAAAACGCGTATAACTACACCATCACCTTCATCGACGCCGCTACACGTTACGTCTGGCACCTAAACTTACCAAGTCGCGACATGGCTTTCGAGGCTTTCGTGGCATGGCTTCCAGCAGCAGAACGGGAATCAGGAGCTAAGCTCAAAAGTTTTCAATCAGACGGAGGAGGAGAATACTCGTCACAGCGGTTCAAGCAGTATCTGGCGGAGAAGGGAATCAAGAGACTCATCTCCCTTCCCTACGCCCATCAACAGCAGGGTGTAGCAGAAAGGATGAACAGGACTCTGCAGAACACCATGCGCAAACTGTTACGTGGCATGCGGCTACCCAACCACCAGTGGCCCGAAGCAATGGACCACGCCGTGATGCTGCACAACTTGCTTTCCTCGTCGTCACTCCCGAACAACGCATCACCGCATCTGCTGTGGACAGGGAAACTGGGCAGCACAAAAATGTTACGAGTCTTCGGCTGCATGGTACAGTACCGACCCCCATCTGCACGAGCCGGCCGATTCTCCCAACGCGCACAGTGGGGACTACACCTGGGCATCGAAAAACATTACAACGCGTGGAAAATCTTCGACATCCACACCAAGGAAACAGTAGCAGCACGTGATGTCATTTTCTACGAGCGGCTCACACTGCCAACATACCTTGCCAACCTGGACGAAAATCGAGACCCCACAGGTGGCTTCCGTGGCGATCGAGCCTTCGCTTCGGCAGGAGACGAAGCTGACTGGGACGAGCAGAACGTGGAAGGAGCCTCGGAAGAAGCCGGACCTCTCCCCTACTGCTCAGTGGACGTACCGATGGACGAAGATAACCCTCGCGAAAGCGTCAACGCCGAAACCTACTACCACTTCGCCGACAACGGTTACGTTACACCTGCTGAAGTCAACACCAACGAAGCAGAACGCATAGGGCCCAACTTCGCACCTGATCCAGAAGCTGGAGACGAGGCAGTCTATCCCGAGGACACCACACTCCCCCGCTACACACAGAGCGGACTCCAGATACTCGGGCTCGTCACCGCAGTCCACGGCGCCGCCATTCCTAAGGAGCCTGCAACGGTTCAGCAGGCTCTGGGGGGGGAGCACAGGGAAAAATGGCGTGAAGCCATGGACAAGGAGCTGAAAGCGCTAGAAGAACGCAACACCTGGAAAATCGTTCCTATCGGCGTAGCACGAAACAAGACCATTCTCACCGGAAAACGGGTCATCCGCGTGAAGACGAAAGCAGATGGCACCATCGACAAATTCAAGGCGCGCTGGGTCGTACGCGGCTTCGACCAAGAACACGGACGCGACTTCACCGAAACCTTTGCTCCGGTCAGCCGACACACCTCACTACGCATTCTCCTCGCGATCGCCGCCATGAAGAAGAAAAAGCTACGACAAATCGATGTCGCAAACGCCTTTCTCTACGCACCTGTTGACGCAGAGATCTTCGTGGAGCTACCACACGGCTCCAGCACGGACTCCACACACGTCTGTCAACTACTCAAATCGCTCTACGGCATCAAACAAGCCCCACGACTGTGGCAACAGTACCTGCACGCCCGACTCGTTCGCATCGGCTTCAAGCAGCTACCGCACGATCAGGGAATGTATCGGCTCACGAAGGGTACAGACTACATCCTCCTAATCGTCTACGTAGACGATTTACTCTACATCGGCTCGACTGACAACGTCACCTCCTGGTTCGAAGGGGAACTGCAGAAGGACCTCACTCTCACAGTCTCACCTACCGTCACACAGTACCTCGGCCTAAACATCCGAGAAGAAGAAGACGCGATCTACCTCAACGCCGCGAAATATGCCGACACCATCGCCAAACGCTTCGCTCTCACACCAACCGCCATCTCCACGCCCTACCGCTACACAACAGGAAACAGCACGGGAAACCCCGCTCTACTCAAGCCCGCCGGAATACGTGACTACCAGAGAAAGCTAGGGTGTCTCCTCTTCGCAGCCGTCACCTGCCGTCCTGACCTATCGTACTCTGCAAGCCAGCTCGCCACCCACCTCAAGAAACCTGAAGCAGAACATCTAGCAGAACTCGATCGCGCTCTTAACTACCTCGTCAGCACCCCGAAGATCGGGTTAACGTATCACAAAAACGCAACCGCACCAACTAAACTTATCGGCTACGTCGACGCCAATCACGCCGGCGACTCCGACAACAGACGCTCACGCACCGGCTACATCTATCGTCTCGAACCCATCGGTCCTATCTCCTGGCAATCGAGTAAGCAGGAATTAATTGCCCTCTCATCGGCCGAAGCAGAATATATAGCACTCTGCTCAGCCACCAAGGAAGGCCTTTACCTTCGCGAGCTGCTGGAAGAAGCGAAGTTAGCCGAGTTACCCAACTTCACACTGTTCTGCGACAACCAGTCGGCAATCCGCATTGCCAACAAGAACGGCTTCGCGAACAGGACGAAACACATCGCCCTGCGCTATTTCTTCGTGAAAGACGAGATCGAGAAAGGGAGACTCGAACTGTCATACTGTCCCACGTCCGAGATGGCAGCCGACTATTTGACCAAGAAGCTCGGGAAGCAGAAATTCGAGTACTGCATGTTGCTGACTGGACAAAGCCACGTCATCAAGAGCGACACTCCAGAAGCGAAGGGGAGTGTTGGAAACAATAAATTGTAAACGCCTCTGTCGTGTCGAAACACCACACCAGAAGCGAAGCACGCCATATCGAAGCACCCGCGAGTCAACCCTCGGAGGTTAAAAGAGGTTGCTGGAGGTTACGCGAAAGTCAAAGGTCAAGCGACCTTTGACCTGACAAATGCAGCGCGACAGCAAGGACACAAAACTGACTCGTTACAGAGCAGTTGTCCGAGTCGTCACTGTATCGAACCGCAACAGCAAAAGTAGTTAAACTATATCCTTTCGTATTCCTTGTAATCTTCTATATATTCTTGTATCCCTTTGCTATAATCAACTTACTTTGCCCTCACATACCAGCGCAAGGTGGTTCACAAATTCTCCACTAATACGCTTCCGCTATTACATAGTCCTACCGGAGTTTTACCCCCGCAAAGATCCTAAGGGCTTTTCTCAGCCCAACAGACTGGACCTCCTGCTGCCCCTGCAGACTCTTTATTCTGCATGGCAGAGGTGGTGGTGGGAATGAGATGGTGGTGGGAGGGAGATGGTAGTGCAGCCTCTACATAGCAGTACCAACCAACTAGAGGCCTGATGCTTGCATTCCAAGCATCTGTTACCGCACAACCCCCCAAGGCACATTCTCAACGGGTTTATGAACATTCTCAAATCCACAAGCCGCGTGATCCAGAGTGCCTGTCTGTTTCACCCACCTCCCTGGCGCACAGAGGGGAGGGCGGCTGGGCTTTGTCTGGTGGGATGGGAGAGGGTGGACAAGTGTGGCAGGGTGCAAAATTCCTGTCTCCTCCCTTGGCAGGGTGCAGAGTGCCTGACTGTTCCCTTGGCAGGGTGCAGAGTGCCTGACTGTTCCGGTGGCAGGGTGCAAAATTCCTGTCTCCTCCCTTGGCAGGATGCAGAGTTCCTGTCTGATCCTCCTCGGGCTATGCATCCCGTCGGTGTGCGGGTGAGGGTCATGCGAGCAAGCCAGGGCCTCAGATTCATTTTTAGGGACCCTGGGCCCTCAGGGCATGGCTCAAAAATGCGTGTCCTCCTCAGGGCAGGGTCCCTAGGGGGACCCTGCTTTCTCAGGGCATTCCAGAACTTAACCCTGAAACTTCAGGGCATTTTTTTAGTGGTGGGTGTGAAGGGGGTACTGTAACTGGCAGTCACGCCTGCCGCATCCCTGTATGTTGCCCCATGTGGGCCATTTTGTCGTCAATGTGAGTGGTGGCGGGCGACTCGCATGTTTCCGGCGCCAAATCTCGGAAATCAAGGACCGGCCCCCTAGGCGCATAGTGTAACTGTTTCAGGGTACGCCATAGGAACCCTGACGCCTCAGGGCAGGCAGGTCTACACTACTCTGAAATCTCAGGGTGATATAAAACAGACATCCTGAAATCTCAGGGCTTGAAAAACTTAGACCCTGATTTTTCAGGGCAAGGGGGTTATGTCAACCCTGAAATCAGGGTAATCAGGGTATTTTACCCTGATATCAAGGGCCCTGGAGCAAGCCCACCAACAGAGCCTGGGGAGGAGGGAAATAGTTTTTGTTTCCCCCAATCCCAGAACTCAAGCACAAACTGACTCCCGCTCCGCCTGCCCCTCCTGCCGCTCCTGCCACGTCTCTCTCCCTGCTCTACCTCTGCCAGAACGCGCCACAGCAGGCCAAGCGGTGCGCCCTGTCTGTCTGTAGGTGACGTTCATGCGAGCATGCTCCGCCTCTCTCTCCTGCTCAACCAATTGTCCCCTTCCCCAGCTCGACACACCAACCGTCCCCTGCTCTACCTCTGCCACAACACGCCTCAGCAGGCCAAGCAGTGTCTGGATGAGGGCAATTCGCACACAGCATCCACGCACCAGCCGCTTCCTGCCACTCCTGCACCTCCCCCCACAGCTCCCGCCCCACACAGTAGTGCAGGCGGTTCAAAGCCTGGCAGGGCAATGCAGGGCGAGGAGAGAGTGGGTGAGGGCAATGCAGTGCAAGGCGAGAGAGTGTGATGAGAGGCACGCAGCAGAAGAGGCGCGGAGATGGTGAAGGGCAATGCAATGTAATGCAAGGAGAAGAGGGCGGGGTGTACGTGGGGTGAATGCAGAGGTGAGAAGCAGGGCTCCCTTTTCGTCCAGCATTGCCACGGCTCGTATACTGCCCTGCCCTGCCCCTGTAGGAGGGGCCACAGCAGGGGATTCAAGGCAAGAGGTG